CTCGGGGTCCAAACCAAGCCTCCACACAAGTCTAAGAATATCATACGAACTCTCTTGTGTGATCAAAACACAAAAATAACCTCTAAAACTACGAATGGAACACTAAAACACATGAATTTCAAAGTAAATTTCAAGAATTTCTAAAATTACAACTAGACGTCTGAATCCTATCAAATTACTCCAATCAACATAAAATTTTACAGACAAGTTCTAAATACCATAACGGACATATTTCAAGTCCCAAAATCAAATTCCGAGCTTGATAGCTAAAAGTCAACCAACGATCAAACCTTTCAACTTCAAATTGTCAAATATCGGCAAATCAACATAAATCAACCTACGGACTTCCAAACTCACTTCTGAGTATATGCCCAAGTCCGAAATCATGATACGAAGCTATCAAATCCATAAGAAAATAATTCCGGGGTCATTTTCACAAAAGTCAAAGTTTGGTCAATATTTCTAATTTAAATGACTAAGTTAAGAATCAAATGGTCCAAAGCAACCCGAAAGCTTCCTGGAACGACACTAACTGACTCTGCAAGTCATAAAATCATAAACACATATGTGTGAAGCATAAAAGGGGGTAACGTGGCGTAATTACACAAAATGACCGATCGGGTTGTTACATTCTCCCCCTCTTAAAACAAAAATTCATCCTCGAACGTGCATAAGGACATACCTGAAGTGGTGAATTGATTAGGATGACGACTCCGCATGTCATGCTCGGTCTACCAGGTTACCTCATCGACTGGATAACCCCTCCATTGGACCTCCACTGAAGCGATGTTCTTTGATCTCAACTTGCAGGACTGTTTGTCCAAGAAGGCCATAGGCTTCGCAATAAAAGTCAAATTGTCCTCCAATTAGACTGTGTTGAAGTCTAAAACATGAGAAAAATCACCATAATACTTTCGGAGCATAGAAACATGGAACAACGGATGAATCGTGGATAAACTAGGTGGTAATTAAAGCTTGTAGGCCACCTCTCCAATCCTCTAAAGGATCTCAAAAGGCCTGGTATACCTAGGGCTCAACTTTCCCTTCTTCACGAACATCATTACACCCTTCATGGGTGAAACCTGGAGCAAAACTTGCTCTCCAACCATGAATGAAACATCGCGAATCTTCTGATCCGGATAACTCTTCTGTCTTGATTGGGCTATACGAAGCCAATCCTGGATCAACTTGACCTTCTCCAAGGCATCTCGAACCAAATCTGCGCCTAATAACTAAGCCTATCCCGGCTCGTACCAGCCAACTGGAGAACGACACCTTCTCCCATATAGGTCATCATAAGGAGCCATCTGAATGCTCAATTGGTAGTAGTTGTTGTAGGCAAACTCCACAAGTGGATAGAACTGATCCCAAGAACCCCTGAAATCCATAACACATGCACTAAGCATATCCTACAATATCTGAATGGTGCGCTCGTACCGTCCGTCTGAGGGTGAAATGTCATGCTCAACTCAACCCGTGCGCCTAGATAACGTTGTACAACTCTCCAGAAATGCAATGTGAACTATGTACCCCGGTCAAAGATGATGGATACCGATACGCCATGAAGTCGTAAAATCTAGTGGATATAAACCTGAGCTAGCTGCTCCAAAAAAGAGGTAGAAACTACCGGGATGAATGAGTCGACTTGGTCAACCTATCCAAAATTACCCATACTGCATCAACTTTCCCGTGAGTCCATTGGAGCCCAACAACAATGTCCATGATGAAACTCTCTCATTTCCACTTGGAAATCTCAAGTCCTTGAAGCAAACCACCCGGCCGTTGATGCTCATACTTCACCTGCTGACAATTTAGGCACCGAGCTACATACTCCACTATGTCTTTCTTCATTTACCTCCACCAATAGTGCTGCCTCAAATCCTGATAAATCTTAGCGGCACCCGGATGAATGGAGTACTGCGAACTATAAGCCTCCTGAAGAATCAACTCACACAACCCATCCACATTGGGCACGCATAATCGCTCTTGCATCCATAACATACCTTCATCCCCAATAGTAACCTCCTTGGCGTTGCTGCGCTGAACCTTGTCCTTGAGGACAAAACAAATGGGGGTCATCATACTGATGCTCTCTAATCTGATCATATAAGGAAGACCAAGAAACCACATAGTCAAGAACTCAACTAGGCTCTGAAATATCAAATCTAGCAAACTAGCTGGATAAGGCCTAAGCATTCAATGCTAATGGCCTTTCCGCTGCTGGTAGGTATGCTAAACTACCCAAACTCTCTACCTTCAGACTCAAGGCATCGACCACCATATTGGCGTTTCTGGGATGAGATAGAATGATGATATCATAGTCCTCAAGCAACTCTAACTAGCTCGCTGCCGCAAGTTAATAGTTTTCTTTTTGAACAGATGTTGTAGACTCCGGTTATCGGTAAAGACCTCACAAGGGATACTGTACAAACAATGCCGCCGGATCTTCAATGCATGAACAATAGCTGCCAACTCCAAGTCATGGATCGGATAATTATTCTCATGGGCATTCAGTTGTCAAAACACGTAGGCAATCACCCTACCATCTTGCATCAACCCGCGCCAAGGGCAACACGTGACGCATCACAGTACACAGTATAATACCCCGAGCCCGTAGGCAACACCAACACTGGGACTGTAGTCAAAGAAGTCTTGAGCTTTTAAAAGCTCGCCTCACACTCCTCGGACCATCTAAAAGGAGCACCCTTCTAAGTCAATATGGTCATAGGTGCAGAAATACATGAGAAACCCTCTACGAAACGACGATAATACCTGGCCAGACCAAGGAAACTCCAGATCTCAGTAGCCAAAGACGGTCTAGGTCAACTCTGCATTGCTTCAATCTTTTTGAGATCTAACTTGATCCCCTCACTCGACACCACATGACCCAAAACATGCCACCGAATCTAGCCAAAATTCACACTTCGAGAATTTTGCATACAACTTCTTCTCTCTCAAGGTCTGTAATACGATTTTCAAGTGCTACTCTTGCTCTTCCCGACTATGTGGGAGTACAGCAAGATGTTGTCAATAAGCACAATGATGAATGAATCAAGATAAGGCCAGAATACACTGTTCATCAGGTGCATAAATGCTGCTGGTCATTGGTCAGCCCAAATGACATCACAAGGAATTTGTAATGACCATACCGAGTCCTAAAGGCAGTCTTTGGAATATCAGGTTCTCGAATCTTCAACTGATAATAACCTCGTCGCAAATCAATATTTGAGAACACTCTGGCACCCTGTAGCTGATCAAATAAATCATCAATGCCTGGCAAGGAATACCTTTTCTTCACCTAACCCTGTTCAACTGCCGATAAGCAATGCACATGCGCATAGAACCATCTTTCTTCTTCACAAACAAGACTGGAACACCCCAATGCGACACACTAGGCCGAATAAAACCCATATTAAGCAACTCTTGCAACTGCTCCTTTAAATCCTTCAACTCTGTTGTGGCCATACAATATAGTGGAAAAGAAATGGGCTGAGTGCCCGGCAACAAGTCAATACCATAATCGATATCCCTATCGGGCGGCATGCCTGGAAGATCCGCTAGAAATACATCTATGAAGACTTTCAGTACCATAACTGACTCAACGGTAGGAGTACTAGCACTGTCATCTCTCACAAAGCCTAGATAAGCATCAATTTCCTTCTCAACCATCCGCTAAGCCTTTAGAAATGACACAACCCTTCTAGGAACATAATCATGCACCCCTCCACTCTAATCGTGGCAAACCCGACATAGCTAACGTCACAGTCTTGGTGTGACAATCTAGAATAACATGATAGGGTGACAACCAGTCTATGCCCAAGATAACATAAAAGTCTACCATACTAACTAACAATAGATCAACTCTAGTCTCAAAACCACCAATAACAACTAAGAACGACAGATACACAGGGTCCACAACAATAGAATCTCCCACGGCGTGGACACATAAATAGGTGAACTCAAAGAATCATGAGATATAACTGAATATGGAGCAAAGTAAGATGACAGGTATGAATAAGTGGATCCTGGATCAAATAAGACTGATGCTTCTTTATGGCAAACCAAAGCCATACCTATATTGACCTGAGTCTGAAACAAATGCCTTTGTCCTACCTTGAAAAGCATAAAATTTGGTCTGGCCTCCCCCTCTAGGGTGACCTCTACCCGCCCGTCCCCCATCCCTAGCTGGCTGTGCGGGTGGATCGGCAACTAGGGCAGCAATTTTGGCCTCAGAAGTCTCTGAACCTGGCTGAATACGTGGAGCCTGAGTGTTCTGTGGAGGTGCACCTCTCCTAAGTCTGGAGCAGTCTCTAACCATGTGGCGGGTATCACCACACTCAAAGCATGCTCTTGGTAGGAATGGCTGCTGTGACTGGCTCGAGCCTAGTTGGCTGGACTGGCCGTTGAAGGCACCCCGTGCAGAAGGTGCACTAGAAAGTGGCTGAGCAAAGTGCGACCTGAGATCTCGGAATACACGGAGCACCACTAGAAGCTGGAAGTGTTGAATGAACTAGACCGCTCATATATCCTCTACCATGATGGGATGTAGCTGCAGCGTGACCACCACTAAATCCCCCAGTAACTCGATCCCTCTTGGCCTCCCTGTCATCTCTCCACTACTAGAAAATTGATCTACAGCAACAGTGGCAAAACCGTTACAATAGATACAAAAACCGTTGCCATAGATCTATTGCAACGGTGTTGTGCAACGGTTGCATAGCTGTTGCAATAAGCTTCTGTATGGTAATGGTTTTGGAACCCTTGCAATAGGTCTATCTATTGTAACGGTTAATTAGTCAATTGGGACGGTGCGAAATCGTCTCAGTATCATTTTAGGGAACGGTATTTTCTACTATAGCAACGGTTTAGATGATATATTGCAACGGTTATTATGAGTTCATGTGATGGTTATTAGAGGCTATTGCAACTGTTATTAGGAGCTACTGCAACAGTTTATTTAGACTATTGCAACCGTTATTAAGAGCTACCGCAACGGTTCATGAAGGTTTACAAATAATTTGTTGAAGCTATTGCTAGAATTTATTTAGACGTTCCACAAAAATTCTAACAATTCGAAAGCATACATAAGCTCTCAAAGTAATGAAAATCCAAAATAAAAGATTCCTAAAATATCTTAATACACTATATTTTAAAATAATCTCATAACTCTAAACAATATTGTTGCCGCTTTCATCTACTCTTTGCTCATCCGTTCCACCTATAAAGATGAAAATAAATAATTTAGTAAATTTTTTAAAAGAATTTAACATCCAGTATACAATCTAAGTAGTACCTTGAAACTTCAAGTGTAATTCAGCTCAAAGAAGTCGATAAAGCTTTGCAAATTCAAATTCAAAGTAGTCCCAGAGATGAACTAAGTGCTGGAATAAGACACAACATTTAAAAATATATTAACCTGCCAAAAAAATAATAGTTTCATCAAAATGGTGTTGCACTATTTTTTCCATTAATGATTCAGAAATTACTACTGAAAAAGGCACCAATTGCGACCATACGTACAACAGAGAAGAGAAAACCCAATCAAACTATCACGGGAACATTGTCATCGTACAATACAAATTACACAAGTGAAGCAAGCTGCTAGTATATAGTCAAATGAATGTCCAGCAGCCATATTGTGCAGGTAATTCGCTGCATACATCGATATGGTAAAAGTATTATTCCAACAACAAGGAGTAGAAATCTTGTTCCAACGACGTGGAGGATTTAGAATTTAGAATTAGCGAATTTAATAAAGGTAAGATTATTATTTATTTCACACATAAATTTTGACAAAAAGTCCAAAATTTTCTTTTTCTTATGTTGTAGGAATGTGTTGCATCCATAGTAATGGATAAAGGTAGAGAATTCAATAGTAAAAAGGGTGCAAGACCAAAAAAGAATTATGTGAGAGAATTTGAAGGGATAGATCATATCAATGCTAACTTAAAACAAATAAGAAAAAGAAAAACAAGATACAACTGAAACAAAAGTTTGATTACTTAGAAAGCTCTCACCTTAATCTCTTGTGTTGATCTTCAAGATCGTACAAGGGTTGATTGCCCACATAACTCTCACCTTTAATCTCCCAACTTACCTGCAAAACCAAATACTGTAGAAAATACATTAGCAAAATTTTATATGGTAATGAATAATCAATAAGTTGGAATTAGTCAGTAATGTGATGCTAAATCTATCAATAGTTGCAGATCATAGGACATAGCTATGCATGCCACACAAGACTACAAATATTGGGATAATGAATTGATAACTCTGCCCATATAAAGCACCTTGTGCAGGAATAATCATGGACAAATATACTTCTACAACCTGAAAACTTCAATGTTGGGCTCATTATAAGGATTATATGCAAGTATTGAGCTGAAGCTTGGACATTCCTACAGGAGAAAAAAAGGTTAAACTAATCAGCCCCCTTCAAATTAAAAGCTGCATGTAAATTGGGTTGGCCACAAACTTTATTTTCTATATGGAATCAGAGACTTGATGCAGATATTTCTGTACCTAAAATTAAACACAAGCAATGATACAGTATCTAAAGGCTCATTATAGTTCTACCATGGGAACTCAACCTTCAGTTGGGACAATAATCAGTTTTGGAAGCACTTCAAGGACCATTATTTATTACTTTGGTACTATTGGAACAACAAGAATAGAAACGATATCGCTTCAATTTACAAGAGGATAAGTGATTACCATATATAACGGACTTCTATATAATTAACTAAACCGCACAACTTTCATTCACACATTAAAAATGTATCCTTTTCATCAACCACACTGGTAATATAAGTTTTGGCATGCCAAGAAATACAATATATTTATTCAGATTAATGCATAGTAGTGAAAAAAGTATGTAATTTACTGGTGCTATTTTCTGCGAAGCCTACTAGTAATCTGTAAAGTAACATGTCTCACCCGAAATAGTTAGATTTCACGGATTACAACACCTACCTTGTGCGAGAAATATACATATACTACAGATGACATATGCAATGTAAATCCTAGACAGAACCTATCTAACACAAGTGAATTAAAGAAACAATATGAGAAGATTTCAAAGACTGACCAAAATTAAATATTCTGGAATTTTCAAGTAGTTTAATTAATCTCAAAGGGGTATTCCCAAAATTCTGTTTTGAGAGAATGCAAGGAATTCAAACATCAATATAATAAGGGACTGAAATGTAATCCAGATACAGAATTAGTATACCCTTCCAAATATATATTGTTTAGCATAAGCTAATCAAAAAGAGCTAAACAAATTGGTGATAAAAGAAAGAACCAGCAGGAAGTACCATTTGATATCTAATCTACCCCAAGTAACCTTTGTAAAGTATACAAGATATTAATCTTATATTCTCGCATTGTATATAAATTCACTTAACTAGATGATAAATAAAGAAATATTCATCAACCAGCAACTAATTATGTGAAGTGATTACTTCTAAAAGTAAGTACTAGTAATATATTTGAAAGTTTATATTGAAATGTTAAGCACTGAGATATGTTGATACAAACATTACGATAAAATGGAATCTCCCATTTACTGAAATATCGTTTTTGAGTTTTGGTCTCACGAATGACTAGATAGAATGTCAATACAATAAGCTTAAAAAATAAATTATCATGCTGATATGCACTCAACCTTTCTTCAACTGCAGCATTATCTATGTAGGACACTCAAAGGAATTCATTGAGAAATAATTTCAAACACTTGTGAGACTAAAAATTATAATACTGCTTCAACAAATATGGGGCAGATTTTCCCCCAAATTTTTTGAAACTTCAATTCAATACGCTACAAACATTTCACTCCTAGGTAGTGCCAATAATTAAATCTACAGGTATACCCATTTGCTTTAAAACCTCTCTTGAATTAGCACAAGGGGTAATATAAAATAACAAAGCAGAAATAATATAGTGAAATCCGAAATTTCAAGAGTGAAAAATCAATCAAGCATACGAGCACGCAAATACCGTAAAAAAAAAGCAGATGACACACTTGGGAAATTCCAATTCTCTTTTATACCCACACAGTTAGGGGTACCTAATTGGATATTAACCAAATAAATTTATTCACCCATTTAGAGATAAATTACAAAATAAAATCTTAATAAAATAAGGTCGGTAACTTACCCAAGAACCAGACCTTGACTCTTTGTCGCTACCATAATATTACTTTCCCTAGGCTCTGTGAGGTTGAAAAGATGTACAGAGTGCCTTGCAGGAGTGACTTGCCGGAGGGGTTAGGGTTTCAAATGGTCGAAGCTATGAGAAGGTGTAGGGATATTTTGATATGCTCTAAGGTTAGAGAACAAGTTTTAGGAATTAAAAAAAATGTCTAGGCGCTGATAAAATTGGATTTAGTGAAATTTGAAGAGGGAAATTATGGGGGGAAAGTAAAATTGTTGCAAAAGCCAAAATTTCCAAATAATCGTTATCATACATGAAGCTATTGCAATGGTTACTGCAACTGTTGCGATAGATAAATCCGTAGCAACGGTTATGGTACTATTGTAACGGTTTATTTTTAAAGATGTTCCAATAGGTTCGACAGGCTTATGCAACGGGTGAAACCGTTCCAATAGATTTTCTATTGCAACGGGGTGAAACCGTTCCAATAGATTTTCTATTGCAACGGTTATGTAACTGTTGCTACAGATGTCGTTGCAAGGTTCACCGCAGAAGAGGGCTTGCAAGTGTGAGCCATGGTCCGTAGAAGCGGAACTCCTAGTCTTAAGTGGAATCCGCACCTGCGATGGCATTTCCGCATGTGCAGCGTCACAGGTGCGGTGTCATAGGTGCGACTGAGAACCCGCAGATGCGAGATCGCTGGGCAGAAAGGTCTAAGTTTGAGGGTTTGATTTTATTATCAAATTTTGGACCTAGAGACCTCGGATTTGAGAGATTCTTGAAGGGATTTTCAAGGAGTTGATTGGGGTAAGTCATTCTTACTTAGTTTTGGTTAAATTTCATATTTAGGTCTTTGATTTCATCATTGTACTAGTGATTTTGGGGTGGAATAAATGGGAAAAATGGAGAAAATTTCTTAGGCTGAATTTTGAGGCTTTGTTCGAGATTTCTGTAGCGGATTTGGGTAATTTTGGTATGGCTGGACTCGTGGTTGAACGGGTGTTAGGATTTTGTGACTTTTACCCCGATACCAAGATGTGGGCCAGGTTGACTTTTTGGGGCGATTTTCTTATTCTTTGGTGAAATAATAATTACATTATTTAGATTAGTTTCTTATAGTTATATTTATAGTATGCAATTGCTTTTGGCTATATTTGAGCCATTCGAAGTCCAAAAGTCGATGGAAAGGCCTTCTTATTGACTGATTTAGCGTGGTTAGAGGTAAGTGACTTGTCTAACCTTGTGTGGGGCAAATCCCCTTAGAATTTGGTACTATTGTGACAATTTGTCATATATGAGAGCCATGCATGCAAGGTGACAAGTGCTTACACTAGCTAAATAATGAAATTCTTGTTTTCGCTAAGTAGTTTCCTTTTTATGCCTTGACTGAGTTATTTTAGCACCTGTAGTCATCATGTTTAGCCTAATTTCACATGTCTACCTGCCTTATCTCTTATTTGCAATTTGTGCTACATGCTTAGCTGAATTACCTGCTTTCTTGATTCCATATTCATTGTTGAACTGTGTGATCTTACTGTAAATTGACATCCTTGAAATATCATTTTTTCAGTAGTTATGTGTTGGTCTTTTGATTTTGTTGAGATAATTGTTTGGTTTTGGCATAAGGTTTCTACCGTGTAGGTTGTTATTGTGGTACAAAGTTTTTTCCGTGCGGAGTATTACTTGGCACGAGGTTTCTGTCGTGCAGAGAGTTATTGTGGCACGAGGTTTCTGTCGTGCGGAGTGTTATTGTGGCATGAGGTTTTTATTGTGTGGAGTACTATTTGGAATGAGGTTTCTGTCGTGTGGATTGTCATTGTGGCATGAGGTTTCTGCCGTGCGGAGTGTTATTTTTCAGGGGGTTTCTGCCATGTGGTTGTTGTTCCTCTAGGATATGTTTTGTTTGTTGTTGTTGTTGTTGTTGATGATGTTTCCTTAACTTGTAAGATGCTCGTTTCCTTACGTGTTGTATTTGTATTCTTGATTTTCGTGTTGTTGCTTTCACTATATTCTTATTGTTTCATTTCCCTAACTTTTTTATTGCATCATTTTACATTCTGCCTTATTTCCTTATATTCCAGTAGTCCCTTACCTGACCTCGTCTACTCTACCAAGGTTAGGCTTGGCATTCACTGGGTATGTTATGGCGTACTCATATTACGCTTCTGCACAACATTTTGTGTAAATCCAGTTACCTCCTACCTGACCAGATATCCGTGAGCTAGTCCGTACGTGGAGACTTCAAGGTATATCTGCCAGCGTCCGCAGACCTTAATGTCCGCCTCTACCCGTATTATGTTATTTTCATTTTTCCTCATTAGACTTTGATGTATAGAGATATTTAATATTTTCCTGTAGAGATTGTGACTTGTACCTACCGGGTTTTGGGAGTTGTTTGTACACTGAGTTGCCAATTTTATTTATTACAGTCATTGATGTTTGATTTAGCTTATATCTTAGTTATTCCACGTAATTATTAGGCTTACCTAGTCTATAGACTAGGTGCCATCACAGCATCTTAACGAGGGAAATTCGGGTCGTGACAAGTTGGTATCATAGCTCTAGGTTCATAGGTGTTATGAGTCACAAGAAAGTTTAGTAAAGTCTCGCGGATCGGTACGGAGACGTCTGTACTTATCTTCGGGAGGCTATGGAACTATTTAGAAAAATTTCACTTCTTGATTCCTTGTCATGCGAAATTATTGGCTTCAAGATTCTAAACTACTATCTTTCTATTCCCTCACAAATGGTGAGGACACGTACAACCAAATCATATGAAAACACACCCGCACCCCCTCCTAGAGCCGCGAGAGGTCGGGGTCGGGGTAGAGGCCGAGGACGTCCACATAGTACGGCCAGAGCACCCAAACGAGCTGCTATAGAGGAGCCATCGGTAGCTCTAGTCGGAGCGCATGCACCTGAGATGTCTGTTACTGCACCAACTCTCCAAGAGACTCTCACCCAATTTCTGAGCATGTTCGGTACTTTAGCTCAGGCAGGGTTGATCCCACTTGCTCCTGCCACATCTCAGGCCGGGGGAGGAGCATAGACTTCCGCCGCTCGTACCCCAGAGAAGCGGGTTCAGGTCGACCAGGTTCCAAAGGTCATACTAGTACAGCCGATAGCCCCAGTTCAGCCCGAGGTTAGGGCTGCGGTTTCTGAGGCGGAGCAGCTCCGGCTCGAGATGTACAAGAAGTACCACCCTCCTACTTTTAGTTGCTTGGCATCAGAGGATGCCTAGGGTTTTCTTGAGGAGTGACATTATATCCTCTGTAATATGGGTATTCTGGAGTCTAGTAGGGTTGTTTTCACTGTGTTCCAGCTTAGGGGAGCGGCCTATCAGTGGTGGCGAGCATATGAGTTGGGTAGTCCTGCCGACGCAGCTTCACTCACTTGGACTCAGTTCTCGGATATGCTCTTGAGGGAATATGTTCCCTAGTGTCTCAGACATGCATGGCGTGTAGAGTTTGAGCAGTTGTGCCATGGCTCTATGACCATGTCAGAGTATGCAGTTCGGTTAAGTGTTTTGGCTGGGCATGCACCAGCCTGGGTTGCAACTTTTCGAGAGCGGGTCTGTCGATTTAACGAGGGGCTCAACCCCTGTATCAGATTTAGCATGTCCCGGGAGTTGGAGATGGACATTGCATACCAGCAGGTAGTGGGGTTTGTTAGGAGATTGGAGGGTATATTGACTCGGGAGAGAGAGGAGAGAGAGGCCAAGAGGTCTCGAGAGTCTGACACATATAGTGGTACTCGTACCCCAACAACAGCTTATCAGGGTAGGGTCTATGTGAGTTGCCCTGTTCATTCAACACTTCTATCCGCTAGTGGTATCCAGGCCACTCATAGGCCCCAGGCTCCCTATTATGCACAACCATTATCTAGCACACCTCCTGCATAGGGTGCTTTCAGCGGTCAGTCTAGTCGATCTGGCCCGAGCCAGCCACTTAAGCCACGCCCTGCGAGAGCTTGTTTTGAGTATGGTAACACTCGGCATAAGATTAGGGATTGTCCCAGACATAGGAGGGGTGCACCTCCACATACTACCTAGGCTTCACGTGCTCCACCAAGTACTCAGGCTATGGTTACAGCACCAACTACCACTCTACCTGCTCAGCCAGCTCGAGGTGCAGGTCGGGAAGGTAGAGGTCGCCCTATAGGGGGAGGCCAGGCTAGGTATTATGCTCTTCCTGCTTGGACGGAGGCAGTTGCATCCGACTTTGTCACTACATATATTGTTCTGGTTTGTCATAGAGATGCATCAGTCTTATTTGATCCAGGCTCCACTTATTCATATGTGTCATCTTATTTTGCTATGTATTTTGGTGTATCTCATGATTCTTTGAGTTCTCCTATCTATGTGTCTACACCTGTGGGAGATTCTATTATTGTTGACTGTGCGTATCGATCGTCTTTGGTTGTTCGTAGTAGTTTTGAGACCAAAGGCAATCTATTATTGGTCAGTATGGTAGACTTTGATATTATTTTGTCCATGGATTGGTTGTCACCCTATCATTTTATTCTTGATTATCACGCCAAGACCGTGACGTTGGCTATGCAAAGATTACCATGGTTAGCGTGGAGGGGTACCTTAGATTATACTCCTAGCAGATTTATTTTATTTCTAAAGGCTCATCGCATGGTTGAGAAGGGGTGTGATGCGTATCTACCTTATGTGAGAGATTTTAGTGTTGATACTCCTACACCTACCGTGGAGTTGATTCTGATAGTGAGGGATTATCCAAACGTATTTCCAACACATCTTCCGAGCATGCCGCCTGACAGGGATATCGACTTTGGTATTGATTTGTTGCCGGGCACTCAGCCCATCTCTATTCCTCCATATCGTATGGCCCCACCAGACTTGAAGGAGTTAAAGGAGAAGTTGCAAGAGTTGCTTGATAAGGGCTTCATTCAGCCCAGTGTGTCGCCTTGGGGGTGCTCGAGTCTCGTTTGTGAAGAAGAAGGATGTAACTATGGGCATATGTATTGATTATCGCCAGTTGAACAAGGTTTTAGTGAAGAACATGTATCCATTTCCACTTATTGATTACCTATTTTATCATCTACAAGGTGCCAGAGTGTTCTCCAAGATTGACTTGCGTTCAGGCTATCATCAGTTAAAGATTCGGGAGCCAAATATCTCGAAGACTTCCTTTAGGACTAGGTATGGTCAATACGAGTTCCTTGTGATGTCGTTTGGGTTGACCAACACCCTAGCAACATTCATGCACTTGATGCATAGTGTATTCCAACCCTATCTCGACTCATTCGTCATTGTGTTTATTGAAGACATTCTTGTGTACTCAAGAGTCGCCACCTAAAGAAT